ATCTGGGTCACACTAGATAGTGAGTACCTAATGCAGGGTCGTAGTATGAATAGTGTATAAAACAAGTCCCAGAAGCCAATTCATAATGAAAAAGCCCATACTCGCACATTCATTCTACAAAGAACACTGAATCAATGCCATGCTCCCTGGTCTTCTCCAAATCGATTCCTTGGCTCCTGAGGAGTTGTATCGCTTATGGCGCTTGCAAGTCGATGGAGACATCGAAATCTATGAAGTTGAACTCCTAGACGATGTAATGATCTCTAAATTTGGGGAGTCTGCCATCATTGTCAATGAGAGTGATGCCGAGCTGAATAGGATTCATACAATCAACATTTGCTTTGAGGGACTGGTAGTACTTCTCAGAATATTTTTGGGAAGGAAAGGAGGGGGGCCTGGATGGATAGATAGCGCCTGGAAACTCTATATCAATGGTGACATTCAGAAAATATGGTAGGATCTGTGTTAGGAGATGGAATTCAGCATCAAGGTTCATCACCCAAACATGGTGAATATGTATGCCGCCGAACGAAATCTTGCTTCTATGCTCTGCTTGCTAATGAGTGATGATTGACTGTAATTCGACCTGAATCATTTTAGACTTTTATAGATGTTTATAAAAATGAATTTGGTAAGTTTGTGTTAGATACTAAATTTGAAATTTTGGAATTGGAAAGTTTCCAAAAAAATTTTGCTCAAATCCACTTTTTCATGGTGGATGACTCAGTCACGCCTCTTGTTTTGTAGATGTAGCTTGAACATCCACTATAAAAAAGTGTAAGTATGTACTTCCAGGGTGGAGTGAAATGAAGACGTTCGGAGACGTAAAAAGTGAACTCACTCATTCACTTTTACGCGAAATGAAGCTCTAAAGTTTCCATTTCAAGTGATTCTAACTCTGAGTCGGTTTAGATGTTTATAGAAATGAATTTAGTAAGTTTGTTTTAGAGACTGCCACTCACTTTGAGTTGGAAACTTTCCATTTCAAGAGACGTTCCGAAATGCAAAAAGCAAATTCACTCACTTTTACACGGTGGAAAGTGCCGTCAACACTCAACATAGGAATGCAGGGTGGGTGGGCCCAACCCGTATTCGGACCCATCTAACTTGCAATTTTATACGTGCTGGTTCCAAAAGATAGGATTTTTTTTTAATTTTTTGACCGGTCTTGGACCTAACCCATAGGTAGTCTAAGTCTAGGTCGATCTCATCCTAACCCTAAGCCCGGTTTGACTATATGCATTGCATGGACATATATTTGCTTGCGTATATGTAATATATCTAAACATACATTGATAACAACTTTTAGTTTGAACTTATTGACCAACTCGAACTTGACCAGGGCCCGAACCAACCTAAATGATTTAAATTTCATTGGGGGTTAGGCATCGAATGAACAACTTGGGCTTGACCTTGGGCCCAACCCACGTTCATCTTTCAGGTCCAATTCTTAGGGTTGGGCCTGGGTTATTCTTAAGCCTAGGGCAATTTGTTTGACTTGCACCCGTAGTCAACAATATCCAATGTTGGACTCTCTTTATTCATACACTATTCATATGTGAATCCCAACATTATCAAATGGTTGCCCCTTCACCTCTTCCCTCCTTTTCCTTTACCATTTGACTTGGGCATTACTAGTAATGTTTGGACATAAGTTTTGATTTTCTTTCATGTAGCCAAATGTAGTATGTCTTGATTTTTTATTCCAATTGATCTTTCGTAGAAACGTAGAAACATAAGATAGATAGTTTGATTAGAGGGGAAAATTTGCCCTTTATGGGGCAGGGATCATCATTCAATGTATAAAACTATCCCATTCTATCAATTTAATAGGTGTTTGGCATTGGTGCTGGGAACACAATACCGTTTTCTCATAAAAATGGTGATTATTTTTTGTTTGGACGTGGTGCTACCACATAGGCTGTTTTTTGGGAAAACAACATTGGTTTTGTTTGGTACTAGTGCTGTAGAATCGTTTTTAGCATTGGTCATATTATCCAACGTCTAAGATGATGCCACATCATTGCACCGCTAGCAACAATGGGCTGTGTTTCTGAGAAAATATCAAATTTGGCATTACTTCAAATCACACTTTCCCGATTTCCAAGGTGTATTGAAGCAATCTTTTTTTATGGAAAAATGGTACCAAATAGGAGGTCATTTTCTGAAACACCACTATTTCTGATGTAGTGCCTACATGGTGCTGTTTTCTCAAAAAATGACATTGATTCCAAACACCACCTTAGATTGGCCATTTAGCTACCAAAATACTAATACTTACGAGCCTCAGAATTCATTGTAATAGACAAGTGTAGTAGATGTAAATGAATCTCAACAAAGGGGTATGGACCAGGGTTATCAAGTTTCCATGTAATATGCCTATTAATATTTTTTAAAAGAAAATAATTTAAATTGAAAAAGTTTCAAACCAAACTATTAAGGAAAAAGTATATAATGTGCAAGTAATTTGGACTCCGAAAGATAGGGAAAAGTTAATAAACTTTAACTATATATATATTTGAGTATAGGTCATGAACATAACATCATTGTGGAATATATATATATATATATATATATATATATATATATATATATATATATATTCCTATTGTTTTTCATTGTCACCCTCACCCATTCTTAATTTGAATCATTCTCCCCTTTGATCAGGCTCCCACCGACGTACTCACATTTCTTCTAAGTAGCTACACGACCAGATTTCATTTCATCTCTTGCTTTAGGTACACTTTGAGCAGTTGATCGAGCTCTATATCGACAAGATGTATTAAAAAGTTGTTGCAAGTTTTCATTGATTCCAATTTCCATATCATCCAAACACCATTGATTTGCAATAGGCCAAGGAAATTTCGGCCTTTCACCAATGCATTTTTAGGATGCCTCCTGTAACGATGTTTTTTCCATTGAGCTTTCTCGGGCTATAGAAAAACATTTGGTTGGGTACTCTTACCTTCATGTGGTTGTTTCATCACCTCTTGCGTTCTTATGTTACTTTGTTTTTCATGATTTTCCTTTGCTTGATCTTCCAACTCCTTTTTATGCATCCAGGTGAGCATTTTGTCAAATACAACTTGTGTCTCAGATTTAGTCACTTGTTGCTTTGAGACCTGAGCGTATCTGACCCAATTTGCAGCATTGTAATTCCGCCCAGAGCAGCATTGCAACAATTCAACCCAAGGAACCCTAGCCTTTTCTCTTTGTTTTTCCTACACTCCCTCGTAGTATAGCCAATTTTGTAGTAGACTTTAGAATAAGGAGCTCTACATAATTCTTGATAGTGTTATAGTGGATTGATCCAACTTCAAAACTAGTCTGACTTCCTGAGCAATCGATATCTAAATATACCTTCCACATAAAAATTAATAGCTAGATATGGAAAAGTAATACGGAACAATAGGGGTGGCCATGAGCTGAGTTATTTATGAGCTATTCGAGCTCAGTTCGGCTCAGTTTCAACCAAGTTTCGAGCCAAGTTCGAGCCCAATTTATAGGCTTGATTATTAAATGAGTCGAACTCAAGCCTAATAAAACTCGGCTCGTGAGACTTGCGAGTCGAATTTGAGCTTATAACTTTTTCACTTAAATCCACCCCTATAAAACAATGAAAGATTCCCAACTTTGATTGAAATTGGGACCCATTTAAATAATTGAACAAGTAATATAAAAGATTGTACCTTTGAAAGCTTCTCATAGACATAGTTTTAAATTAAATAGTCACTCTCTTCCGCAAAATGAATCAAAATATGCTTAGAATCCAATGTTGTGACCCATATTTCATTCCTTAGGGAAAACGATTTGCATATAAACACTTCCAATTCCTCTAGAGAAGTCGACCATGCATGACCTACTTTAGGGTTGCAATGATCACAATAAGAAACTGCAAAGACAAACGAAGGCTTCTCCATGGGGGGATCTACATTGGGATTTGCCATGAGAGAGAGAGAGAGAGAGGGTGGAAGAGGCTACGACTATTAAACATAAAATGTATATTTTATTAAACATGAAAGGACACTCTGTGCAATATGAGCCAATAAAAACTAAGGCATCTTTTTACATGATAGGTTAAGATATAAATTTAATTAACGGTGCAGCAATTGAATGCATAATTGAACTCGTAATTTAATATATTAGACATGAACTTGTATATATAAAAGGATAAATTGCTGAAACTTTTCCTGAAGTTTTTTGACCATTGCTGAAACCTCTTTTAAAGTTTGATAATTACAATCACCTCCCCGAAACCTTTTGACATAGTTGCAAGTAGACCCCCTTTATTAGAATTCTCTAAAAAGAGGTATAGAAATGTCAAAAATACTCATGCAATTACTTTTGACCAAAATGTTTATTTTCCAACTTTTCTCCTCATTGAGAGGCATTAGCCCAAGCCCTTCCAATTTCTTTTCTAAAAATTCAACCATTTTCTAATCCTTCATATCAATCAATCAAAGGTTAATCTGCAACTTCAATTTCTCTATTTTTTTTGTTGTTTATAAAGTTTGTATTTTTTTAAAAACTAGCTTCCACTGTAATTGCATGGGTATTTTGGACATTTTTATTCTTTTTGTTAGAGGATTCTAAAATAAGGGATCTACTTGCAAATGTGTCCAAAAAGTTTAGGGGAGTTTGATTGCAATTACCAAATTTCAGGGACAAATTAAACGGTCATAACTTTCCGTGGAGGTTTTAGCAATATACTAAAATGCTGAATTGTTTACTTCAAAACTTATTAAATGAAAACATATTGAAGATGGATTATCTGACCGAAAATTTTTCCTTTTTGTGTGTTGAAAATAAATTTGTTGGGAGGCTCTATTCTTAAAGGTGAGACTAAGAATACGGTGACTGTGACTGACTGTCTTGCTAGTTCTTCCTGAAATTCCTAACCAGTAGAAAGAAGCTAGGTCAGTTGTAGTTAGCTCTATATATAGACAGCAGAGAGAGAGAGAGACTGATTATTCCACACATATTTGTTAATTGTTCCATGATAATTAATAAAGTGAAATTTATTTCTAAGTTAACAACCCTGATAATTGATATTACATGATAAGGATGTGAATGAAGTTGTTTATTTATTACATGAGTAATACATATTCGGATTTATTCAGCTGATCATGAGCAAATTACTATTCCCAATTTAAACGTAAGCCTTAATAGTGTTACTGTATCCGTTCTTGTCATCTAAGTATTTATTCCACAGCATGACACCGCCATACTTGGGAGAAGCCTTGATTTTGGGCAGGATTTGATGGATGAGCACATTTGTGGGGATATAACCACTTCCAGCTGCTTGGGGAGAGGCAGGTAGTCCCAAGAAGAACTTGGTGGCCTGGATTGACGACGTCCATTTGGTCCAAGAACTCAATAGCTTTGAAACATTCCCTGGGGTGTATTGGCAAGGAGCATTGTTATAGAATTGGATCCAAACATAATCGAACAGCCCAGAGTTGAGGGCACGGCCGAGATACCTATCTGGGAATGGGCACTGCGGAGCCGCGGCCAGGTACACCTTCTTGCTTGGCTTACTGTAGACCGAGAGGTACCTGACCAGCTCATAGTAGTACAGAGTGCTGCCTCTCTCGATGTCGAAGTCTATGCCGTCCAGCACTGCTGGACCCAGTGGGCGTGTCGACGAGCGGCCGCCCAGGAAGTTGTTCCAGAGGTAGTCGGCGACGTTTTTGGCATCCTGAGCGGATTTTAGAGTGTAGGTGCCGATGCCACCTCCAATGGAGAGCAGCACCTTAATGCCTTTGCTTTGGCAATACTTGATGTCTTCAGTAAGGCCGACGCAGCCGCCAGTGGCTGGGTTGCAGTGGCCGGCGAGGTTGAGCTCCGGCTTCTGGCCATTGCCGAACTTGTTGAGGAAAGCGAGGTTCACGTATGCGTACTTGCCCGTAGCACAAGTCTGCTTCAGCGTTCCCTCCTTTCCGCTTTGGCCCCAGTAGACGGCAATGCCGCCTTTGCCAGCGGCCAGCGACGTTGCCGCTACGGAGAGCAGCAGGAGGGAGAGAAGAAGGGCTGATGATGCTTGAGACTGAGTAGCCATTGGTGGGTTAAGGATTGCGAGGCTAGCTATTCTCTGGTTATGAGTTGAGAGGATTGTTGGTGCTTGAAAATGTTTACGTGGGAGGCTTTTTATAGACCAGCTCCTTGGCTTTGACAAGGTGCATCCCTTGTTGTTGTACGTTCGTACGTCCTTCGCCGTGGTTTCAGCCATATATATCGACTGTGGTTTTCATTTTTCTTCAAGCTTTGGTCAATGTGACGCGGAATTTGCATCAGTTTCAGAGGTTTCTTATCCAATCTAATTAATATAATTTCAGTCGTAGGCGCCCTTGTATCAAACATGTTAAGAAATCAGAATAGTTTTGATTTATATAATAAGATGACAGTTTCGGTGACGAAATATACTGACTAACTCAACACCCTACTCATTTTATTTATTAATATATATACACATCCATTGGAAGGATGAAAAGATGAACCACACGGTTTTTTTTGTATTCCCAAATCCAAACAGCAACTTTAATATATATTTTATTCGTCAGCGTCAGCGGGGTAGTTAGTTCTTAACAGCTGGGTGTGGGGGATAATTTATAATTTACAGTTACGTGCTGTAAGATGATTCCTGAATTTGCAAGCAATGTATGAGTTGAAAATTAACTTGTGGGAGATAGTTGGGTCTCAAAATCACATTATATATACAAGATAAACAAAGAAATAAATTAGATAAGGCTGGTTTTGGTTAAAGAAATATTGAAGGGAAGTAAATAAAAATGAGAAAAAAAAATGTATTTGGAGATAAAATCTCAAACTATTTTTAAGTGTTTGATTTTTCCATTAAAAATTTAAACTTGTAACACTCTTTTAACATTGTATGTATATTAATTAAAACAGAACTGTAATTATATAAATCATTTGTAATTCATACAATAAGAATATTCATTTTGGATGTGACCAAATTACCAACTACATGATTGAATACTCATTTTTAAATGGTCAAAAAGTGAAGATTGTTAAAAACCATAGTTTTTTTTTTGGTCAAGAAGATCCCCTACAATCTAAAATATCTGTGGTTCAGTTGGAAAAGATGTTCAATCAGTTGTCTCAAATAAACTAGGTACCATAATACTCGTAATAGTATGAGGGCTATCAAGGTCTCCTTCGTTTTTTGGTAAGTTATTTATTTAGATAAGTATATTTATTCAGGCAAGTGTTTCTTAGGAAAGATTTATCCAAGCAAATGCATTTATCTATGTTCTTTTAAAAGTGGTGTTTTTGTCTCATTCATGTATTGGCAACTTTCTCCCTAAGTGGGAAAGTTATTTACCCAACTAGCTAGGAGATGGGCATATACCCAGGAAGATAAACTTTCTCTACTCCCCATATAAATTTAAAAAAAGAACATGGGTTTCTTGATCAATGAAAATTAAAATTCTATTGACCAATTTTTCTCTCTCAAAATCATAAAAAAAAAAATGCCCCCAAATGATTATACTATGGAATTGAAAAATGTTCGAAATATTCTCAGAATATGAAAATTTCAAGTATAAAAAGCCTAATCCTGCACATTGGAGCACCCACTGTATGCTTTCTTCCTGTGAATAGATCAGCTTCAGCATTAACCCTTCCCTGGTATACAGCTCGAACAGTCGAAACATGAGAAAAATTCCAAATAACAGTTTCTGGGCCCACGGTGTCATGGGCTGGCTATTCCGAAGAAAAGAAAAAGCTTAGCTTTGACCTTCTTAACCAGCTTAACTTATTAGCTCAGTCTTGATCTACATTATTACCATGTCTTAGATGGTACCTACCTTTTTTTTTTATTTTTTCTATGGTTTCAAATGCAAACAATAGCTCATGACTAAACCAATGGGCTGTCTTTTTGTGGCTGTACTGCACATTTTGATCGTTCAATTCAAATAGATGAGTACCGGCCGTTTGAATTAAAAATAAAAATGCTCAGTTCGTAATTTAGCCCATTGAAGCCAGTGATCCTCAAAACAGGCTTCAAGGCTGGTTGATCCGCCGTTGGTTCTCAGAACTAACCACATAACTGGCCAGTCTAGGTCGAGTCTAGATCTCTTTTACAATTCAAAGCTTTAAATGAACTTGGGCAAGATCAAATTCTGAAGTGAATTCCTGTGTTTAAAAAAGCTCCATATCCATTACAAATATGTACATTATAAATACATACAAAATACAAGGTTTTTTACTCTACATATTTATACTTGTACCTCTTTCAAACCGAGCCTAACTTAAAAACTGTATGTTCAGGGGTAAGGTTGTCGTACATATGTCCCTCCCCAGATCTCGCATTGGTGGGCTGCCTATCCACGGTGACATTTAGTTGTGTGTGTGAGAGGGAGAAAGGGATTTGTCGGTCTTTAAAGAGATTTGTGTACCACCAATAACAAGAATAATTAAGTGATTTTGCATAATCTCCTTCTTGTAAGAGAATAGCCTACAGGCTATTAGTTACAACAGCTCCATGGAATCTGAAATTTCTGACCACAACACATTGCTAGTCACACTCATCCAGTCACATATATGGAACATCGTTGGTGTTTGAATCCAAATTTTCTGCTCACTTTCTCTACCCACAACCTATCCACAGTAAATTGCAGCCGCATATCTCACAATACAAGATGACGATGTATGACTGCAATTCAAAGCGGGTAGAGAGTGGGTTAAAGGAAATCCGGTATGTTGGTGATTGATAAGATGCAACTAAGTCCCGAGATTAGGAGAGAGACCAGGCTAATGTGGACTACTTATATCATTTTGGGCCTTGTTAGAAGTCTAAACTGAAGTAAGGCCTCCTGAACCTGGCCCTTCAATGAATATAGCTACTGTTGTTGGTCCTCGGGACTGGCTTGGCATAAGCTTTTTCTTTTATGAACAGGATAATAGAGTTGAAAATTATAAATAAATCCTGGAAGTATAAAATAAAAAACGAATATACAGACCAGTTTCAACATTATTTCTGTGGTATAAACCCCAACCCAGGAAAATATTTCCAGAGCCAATGATACAAACTACCAACTGACGCCTGAATCTATGATATTATACCTGGATAGTGGGCTGACCACGATCACAGTTTTCCTTTTCATGTGATTTCATGGTTGAAAGACGACGCTTAATTTACATTCCAGTGTGGTTTGGATAGAATGGCAAAATAGAGAAGATGGGTTTCACACTATCGATCAACAGCGACAAGCGGTATTAGCTATGTTTGGTTGAATTTTCATTCTTTCTCATTTTTATTTAATATATGAAATTCTAAAATGAAAAAGAATATATAAAAATAGGAAGAATGAAGAAATATTGCTATGAACCAAATATTTTTTTTCTAAAAATGAATTCTTTTCAAACTGATAAGTGTCCTATGTTGCTCATTTTCATTCAAAAAAAAAAAAAAAAAAACCAAAACAAAAAAACTATGTCAGTATTCATAAACCGCTGGCCTCTAAGTCTCCAAAACTATTGGCACAGATGTTTACTAACAGATGGCCGGCAGTCAACATTTACCAGTCAATGCTTCCGTAAAAGCACTTTACTTTAGCAAAGTGTTCTTGTGTATAAAATTGCTTTCATAAAAATAATTTTCTAAAAATGCTTTCATAAAAGTACTTTCACAAAAGTAAACATCTATGATAGCATTTTCCTCAAAGAATGAAAATAAGCAGGATGGGGCATGATTATTTTTCATATTGTAGACTACTCAATTTTTGTGCTATAGGGCTGATTTTTCATTCTAAAAAGAATATAGCCCGTGGTAAGAATTTTGTAAACAAACATTCTAATGTGATTCATTCTTGACCATTACCTAGAATGAACTAGAATTAAAAAATGAGGCCAGAATAGTGAACCAAACATGGCCTAGATTTCTATACAAAAGAGAATAAATATATCTGTCTGTGGTTTAAAATACTTAAAAATGACCTCGTAACTTCATTACTGACCAAACCTTTGTTTTTAGAATTTTATACATTTTTAATGCATGTAAAATGAATACTAATTGGACCTCCTATTAATCGATAATTCGAGTCATTTGATGGGAATTAATTCCAAAGTGAACTTGTAAATGACTATGGTGATTTGTGACCTATTGAGCCAAGATCGAATCTGTTCCTCACACAGCTAAAGCGTGTGAGGTCGATGTGAGATGCACACTGTGAGGAGCAGATCCGAACTCAAATAGAGCCCCAACCTCATTGTGCCAAACTCAAACTTATTGATTACCTTGTTTACCTCAGGCCTTACCAACTCAGACATTCACTTTTCAATTGGTGGGCCATGAGTGGGACCCAATACATGAGGGGTATATTCTTCTTAAACATTTTTTAGGCATAAAAATCGAAACAACCTCGTTGTATGTATAAAATGACCAGGGTTCTTAGAAACAGCCTTTTTATATGTATTGGGGTAAGGTTGCAAATATCTATCCCTCCCCAGACTCCGCATTATTCCCTTTATTTTTCCATTTTGATTTTTGTTTACACATTCAATCCATTCATTGAAAAATATTCCATCTATGAGTTGCGCTTTGTGAGGAGCAAATCCGGACTCCCATGAACCTTCTGACAAATATATTTTACCATGGATAAAGATGCTTCCTAAAATGAATGTCACCCATCAATTGCCTTATTTCCCCGTAGTACTTTGCACATTAACACAAGTTGTTCTTGTAATTTTAGATTCATTTGTAATTTATGAGAATCAATTATGAATGTGGAGAATTAAACAAGAAAGTGGTGAGTTGGAGAGTGTGGAGAATTAAATACAAGACTCTTTGTTGATGATTTCACTCAAGATGATGTGAATATGTTTTATTGAACAAAAGTCTAAAGACTCTTTAGTGTTTACTCAATTCAAAGCATTAGTGGAAGGACAAAGTGGGCATCAGCTGAAGGTTTTACAAATTGATCGTGGAGGAGAATTTACTTCATAGGAGTTTTGCTAACATTGCAAACATTTAGGGATCAGAAGAAAATTAACTATCAGATATATTCTACAACAAAATAGAAATGCTAAAAGGAGGAATCAGACTATTGTTAAATTACAAGAAGCATGATGAAAGGAAAAATTTATCCAATAA